ATTTAATTTTTTCGTGACACCAAAAACCCTTTTAAATTTAGTTAGTTCTAGACTTCCTTACTGAATCTCTTTCAAAAGGTTTTTCAGAAAAAAACTTGATTACATGTGGATTCGATCCCTAAATAATACAATTGATCAGTTTGCACTTGCAGCTTCATTATTTTATTAAAAGTAAAACTTGTTCTCTACACACCACGCACACATCAGTTGTCCCATGCATCCGAAAAGGCTTTTATAGAGTCTACTACGATGTTTGGTTTGCCCCAAACTTTCAAAACTTTAAGACTTGTTCTTGCGTTAAGCTGATCAAATTTTGACATAATGATTGTTATAACAATACTAAAGACGTTTACTACAAGAAAACAGGGGCAATTCCAATGGTATTTCTCACAGCCATAATCCGTCGGAAATTTCCAATGAATTTCTGATGAATTTTGGCCGAAAATGTTGTCCGTCGGAAATCTGTCAGAAATTTTCGACGGAATAAAATTCGTCGGTAAATCGTCTGAAATTTCTGACGACTTTTCGAGAAACTATTTCGTCGGTCATAATTCCTACGAAACTGTTACGAATTTTAGACAGATATTCATATCCGTTTGAAAATGTCATGGTCCGTAGGAATTCCGTCGGAAAATTCTGACGACTTTCCGACAACATTTTTCGTCAGACTAATTCTGATGGAAGTCTGACGGATTTCCGACAACTATATTTTTTATCCCACATCGGCTAGTAAAAAGGAGAAGGTAACTAAAATGATCTATAAATACTCATTTTTGCTCAATTAAATATTATCCACAGGTGAGCTTCCCAAAACATCAAAGGCTTATTTGATAGTTTAAAATATTATATTTTTAATTGGTTATAATTGGTATTAAACTGATTTGTTTGACCGCGGCAGAGTTTCACCGCTGATTATCGAAGCGGGTGTTTAGTCACCTAGGTGCTTGTGTTTTTGAACACGGATTACAACTACTCTCACAATAAAAAAAAATTCTATCTATAATGTCTTCTTCAGATCCTTCTAATTATTTTCAATCATGGATGGACAAGCCTTATCAAATTCCAGATACAGGTCTTATTAAGGAAGAATACAAACAAGGCATACAGCAATTCATGGCATTTGCGAGTACGCAGAAAAAAGCCAAAAAATCTGGTAAAATCTATTGTCCATGTACTAATTGTTGGAATCGTAGATCAGTCATGATAGACGAAGTATGGTCACACCTATATTGTAATGGATTTGCACCAGGTTACAAGATTTGGTACTATCATGGAGAAAATGATTAAATGGTTAATTATGCTAGTACTAGTGAAGAAAATATCAGGGATAGCTTAGAAGAACCTGCAATGGAAGTAGAAAATGTAGGTCATGTTGAGATGGTGAACGTTGGTCACGTTCAAATGGTGAATGATGCATTTCGTGAAAGTATACCATCAACTGCAGAGTATGCAAATAGAGGTGAAGAACCTAATTTAGAAGCTCGAAGGTTCTTTGATATGTTGTACGCTGCTAAAAATCCGTTGTATCATGGTTGTACAGGTGGACATTCCCATTTATCAGCTGCAACTAGGATGATGGGTATAAAGACGGATTTTCATTTGAGCAAAGAATGTGTGGATGCAATAGTTGATTTTGTGAAAGACAATTTGCCAGAAAATAATATTGCACCAGTATCATATTATGAGATAGAGAAACTTGTCTGTGGTCTTGGATTGCCGTATCAGATGATAGATATGTGCATCGATAACTGTATGCTCTATTGGAGAGAGACCGCAGACCGTTCAACATGTTATTTTGTCGTAAACCTCGGTATAAGGATATAGAGGGAAGAGTGCGAGTCCCACATAAACGGATGTGGTATTTAGCGTTAACAGAGAGACTTAAGATGTTATATCAGTCATAGCATACAGCAAGTGCAATGAGATGGCATGCAGAGCACACTTTGGATGGAGAAATTGCTCATCCCTCAGATGCAAATGCATGAAAACATTATCAATCCATTTATCCCAATTTTGCGTATGAGGCGAGGAACATATATCTTGGATTATGTATGTATGGTTTCAACCCCGTTTGGAAAGCATGGAAGACAGTATTCGTTGTGGCCAGTAATTGTAACACCTTATAATTTGCTACCATCTTTATGCATGAACCGAGAGTTCTTGTTCTTCCTGGACCAGAGCATCCGAAGAGAGCATTTGATGTGTTTTTGCAGCCACTAATTTATGAGTTGCAAATATTATGGGAGCATGGTGTTCAAGCGTTTGATGTTTCTTGTCAGCAGAATTTTACCATGTGTTCAGTACTGATGTGGACTATTAGCGATTTTTCAACTATAGCATGCTATCTGGTTGGACAACGCATGGAAAGTTATCTTGCCTGTATTGTCAAGATAACACAGATGCGTTCCAATTGAAGCACGAAAAAAAAATTTGTTGGTTTGATTGTCATAGGTGATTTCTAACAAGAGATCATACTTACCGCTGGAGCACCACATTGTTTAGTAAAAACCGTCGAGTGTTTGATGATCAACCTCCTGAGGTAGATGGAGAAGATTTGTTAACTCAGTTCAAAGATTTCGGTGTAGAAAGCACCATAGAGTGTGGTGGTAGCGGGCATCAACTTGTTGATGGTTCTGACATCAACCACAATTGGCACAAAAGAAGTGTATTATGGGATTTGCCTTATTAGAAGGATCATTTGTTGAGGCATAACTTAGATGTCATGCATATTGAGAAGAATTTTTTCGACAACATAATAACCTCCATTCTTAATGTCCAAGGGAAGACGAAGGACAATCTGAAGTCTAGATTGGACTTGCCAGACATTTGTGCTCGTAAGGCACTACATGTTTCATCAAGCGGAAAGCCTCCAGTTCCTGTTTTTCGGTTAGATGAACCCTCAACGGCTGAGTTTTTTAACTGGATCGCCGATAATGTTAAATTTCCAGATGGATACGCATCTAACCTTCGTAACTGCGTTGATCATGGAGAAAAGAAGTTTTTCGGAATGAAAAATCATGATTGTCATGTTGTGATGCAGCGTCTACTTCCATTTGCGTTCGCAGATCTTCTACCACGTAATGTCCATGAAGCAATTGCAGGTATACTAATTATATTTAATTTTTATTTTTATTTGTATATATATACTAATTGTGTTAAGATTTAATTACTTTTTAATTTATTTTTATTATATACTTTGTAGGGATTGGTGCCTTTTCCGAGATATATGCATACGATCTTTGACATTGGATGGTATCCGGAATCTTGCGAGCAATATACTTGTAATACTTTGTAATTTAGAGAAAATATTTCCTCCTTCATTCTTTGATGTTATGGAACATATACCAATTCATCTCCCTCGAGAAGCAGAACTTGGGAGACCTGTTCAGTACTGTTGGATGTATCCTTTTGAACGGTATATGTTTCATTTAAAAAAAAAAAGTGAAAAATATGAGCAGAGTGGAGGGTTCTATTGTAGCACAGAGCATTAATGAAGAAACTTCAAATTTTGCCGAGTACTACTTTACAAAAGAGGTCAAAACAAAGATTCGTAGACCAACTCAGCATGATGATGGAGGTGATACACCTTTTTATCCGGTCATTGTTCCCAATATTTTCCTACAAATTGGACGACTCAGTGGAAAAGGCAAGAAACGAAGACTTTCGACACAAGAGCGAGATCATTTGCAAATGTATATTCTCACAAACAGTGAAGAAGTTCAAGAATATGAGAGGTATGTATTATATTAAACGAGTTGTTGCTTATATATAATTGGTTTTTAATTGTATATATTTCCTAGTTGTTTTATATGGTGTATTCTCCCAGGATTTATATGTCATATCAGCGTTTTGCATATCCACACAAAACAGATGACGAGTTGATTGAACTCAAACAGGAAGAGTTCTCACGTTGGTTGAGAAATTACGTAAGTGTTATAATTACATTGATTTTTATCATCAACTTAATGATTTTATTAAATTATATGCAACTCTCTTTTGCAGGTTATGACAGAGAAAGATAATGGTCGATCATTTCAACGTGGTTAGATGAATTAGTATGTTTTTCACTATCTTCCGTACAATCACATGTAATGTATAGCACATGAGGCTACACTTTTAAGATTCTTGGGGATGCTAGGAGCAGATCAACTTCAGATTATGGTGTATCTACTCAATCTGGTGATATTGTTTATTATGGTGTCTTACGGGAGATTCTGGATGTTAAATATCTGGGAATGCTCGGCCTGAGATGTGTTGCATTTTTATGTGGTTGGTATAATCCAGTAGTTGGAAATGGTGTGCGTCACGACCAATTTGGTGTTACATCAATACATAGCAGAAGACACTCCATAAATATGATCCAATTATACTTGCTTCCCAAGCAGAACCGGTTTGTTTTATTCTTTAACTTTTATTTGTTAGAATTTAACATTTATATAAAATTATATACATTTATGTAAAAATTATATATATTAATTAACTCTAAGTGTTGAATTTTTTTTTATTTCAGTTGATTTAGCTTACAATTCTTAATTTACAATTTGTTTTTGTTTTGTTTTAATATTCCAGGTTTAAGTTGTCGCCTGCGATAACAAAGGCGATACTGCAGATGCTTCAAAACATGTTGGACCAACCATATGAGAAATACTCATTCATGCCGAAACTTGTAAAGGATTTATGGCATCGTACTTTCGCGGTAGGTTGCTGATTTTTTTTTTTTTTAAATGGCATAACATATTTTGTCTTTTTTTTTGTAGCAAGAGTTCACTTGGGACCGACAACATACAAGGAATGTTCTCAACACTTTCGACAAGTATGCCGCTACCCAGTTTTCGCAGCACATGTACGAGTAGAAGCTGAAGTGGCTTCACAAGAAAGATCCAAATGATCTTGAATATGACGTTTGGAAAGGATTCTGCGAGTATTAGGATAAAACAGCGACAAAGAAGCTTTCAACAACAAACTCGAAAAATCGAAGGAGTGAACGAAAAGGGAAAGGGATGTACATTCACAATGGAGGCGCAAAGACTATCGAACGAGAAGCGATGGAAATGGTATGCATATATTTTACTACGAATTATATATTTTTTTCTATTACTATATTACTTACAAATTTTTGCAGGCGAAAGAAGCCCCTGAGATTCCTCTGGATTTTCTTGTGGTTTTGGAAAAGAGACACACAAACAAAAAGACCGGTGCTATCCAAGACCTAGAGATTCGTGAGAAGATTGAAATCTGCAAAAAGATGAAAGAGGACAAGATTGTGGAACTCTCGCAACTCACTCTCGATGGATCGACTTCTTCAAACGAGTTACCCCGAGAAGAGATCAACGATATTGTTCTCAGTGTAAGTTAATATTTTTTCTTTAATTTTTTTTCTTTATTCATTATTTATCTAACAATTTTATAATTTTTTTATAGGAAATTTGAAAAGTGAAGGGTAGATTTGTCGGGTTAGGCGGACTCCCAAGCCAAGAGTCTTCTTCTTCAAATTATTGTGTCCCATCTGCAAACTATAAAGCCGACATGGAAAGACTTTCTCTAACGGTTAAAGAACGTGACAAGGAGGTTGCAGACCTTAAGGCTGCCAACCAATCAACCCGTCAAGAGCTATCCGATTTGAAAGAACTTTTGAAGACCGTATTACCTAACTACTTTAAATAGTTATGTTTTTATATTTTTAAAAAGTATTGTTATTTTTTTGTTTTAAACAAATTTAATGATTTTGGCATTTTTAATTTAATGAATATTTTTAATATCTATTAATTGTTTAAAAATAAGAAATATAATTTAAAAGATAATTATTGCGAATTATATATATATATATAATTTTTAAAACTATATTTTTGGTCACAAATCCGTAGGAAAAAATCCGTCGAAAATCCATAAAAAAAATCCGTCGAAAATCCGTAATATAATCCATTGGAACTCCGTCGGAAAATGACCGACAATCGTCGGTAAACTTTTGACACTTATAGTCGTTGGTAAGTTGTCTGAAATGTATTCATCGGTTTAGCGTCGGAAAATGTCTGACACGATTCCGACAACAGTTATCCATCGGAATATTCCCACGATTTTTAGACGGAAGTGAATTTCCGACGAGTGGTAACCGATATAAGTGTTTTTGTCACAAATCCGTCGGAAATGGTCTTTTCTGACGGATTTCTTACGAATTTAGCCGTCAGAAATGAGCTGTTTTCTTGTAGTGGTTAACAAAGCTTAGAGATTACGCCATTTCAATCTAAAGAGGTGATGAATATAAGAATTGCATATAATCAGAGATTAAGTAGGAGGAACAAATGTATTGTAATTATCTTTGGAATCGATTAATCAGTTATACACGTACATTTTCCATGAAGACAAGAGCGATAGTAGTCTACAGGGCATTTAACAGAGTCGGGACAATCACGGTCCATCTTGCACTGCATCGCCTTGTTACAATAACACTCTCCTCGCCTACATTTCCCTTGTCCTCTCTGGCCTGTTTCTCTAAAACACTCCAACTCGCAAAATTCTGATGACGAGCCGCATGGTGGCCTCAATCCGGCCTCAATTCTAGAAACGTTCATCAACAAAAATATGCCTATTAATTAATAGCAAACACATGTTACAGTTTAGTCGCTCTATTAAATCGATTTAATCAATATATAAGAGAAGTATATATATAAGAGGAGCTAACATGTGAGATAAAGGACGAAAACGATATAGATTGCCGTTTTTGATGCCCCCATTTCTTTTGCCTGAAAAATATGAAGATTAGCTTATGGCTTACAGTGTCTAAATACGTTTGTAACTTTAGATGGTTTTTCGGATGCTTATATAATGTGTCTTTGTCTCTTTGAGCATGATTATAGCAATTTAGTTAATGCATATGTTGACTTTTGCTTTTGGCAAAATATTATTCTTACAGATAAAGTAACGGTAATTTTTTATTTTTTTGTCGGCCATTCCAATAAAGTAACATATTTTATTTATAAAAATTATAATTTTTTTCTTAAAAAAATCAATTTGCCTTTTTCAGAATTATAATTTAGCATTTAGACGGACATTCACTTACAATAACTTTTTATTTAAAAAGAATATTTCCTTTCTTTTTGGTCAACAAATAGAAAAAAATTTACTAGTTCTTATTGTAATTTGTTGACTACAAACACAATTCAATATGAATGTACTTATTGGTAATACATTGTAGTACTTTTTCCGGCTTTTTATGTAGACAAAATGTATTTGTTTGACTAGTAAAAAAAAAGAAATCATAAAATGTCTCTGTTACTAATTAGGACCTACCATCATAAAAATAATATTATAATATTACTAAAGAAGATTCATGTTGAAGGTTGCAGACCGTTCACATTGTACAATTTCGTATTTTTTCATGAGAAATGAGTCAGTATCTTTTCTCGAGATATATAGCAAGTCAATCAAGGATCGCTGGCCTTTTATATCTATTAGAGATTTGGTTGTACCCAGGTCTTTGGTTCAATATTGGTTAGATATGATTATTTGTATAGAGAGATTAAGTTTATTTTGCTTAATCTCGTGTTATATATACACTTTGTACCACACTTTATGGAATTAATGAGAAACATTCTTCAACATTAATAAGATCATTTAATAATATTATTTTACCCCAAAAAAAAAGATCATTTAATATTAACCATTCATCTTGTCTATTGTAGATACGAGTTCAGTGATGAGATCAAATAGATTAGAAAAAAATAGCAGAGTTGATTGTGGAAAAAAAAACTCAAATAAATATATGTACTCTGCAGAGGCTGCCTTTTAGCTGCAAATTTAATGCTGAATCTTCATATAAAAGCCATATCAAATCCGTTCTCTGCGGACTGCGGTAAACATCTCTATTTTACTTCTTATAAAAAATCGTACATGCTATTTTTTTGTCGACGTTAATATGTAAGTTTTCACTGTCTTTATGAATTTACTAATCCTATGTGACTGCATTATTCGGCTATTTGTATGCATATTTATGAATAATTTATAGACAAACCTATCTCTTATTAGAGTTACTCTGGCATGGCACATACAGTTATTTACATAATCATTCTTTACCGAACAATCAGTCCAGAACACATATATATGCAATGACAACACTCCAATGGATGTATTTCCCTATCTGGTCTTCTCATATATTTTGTTCATCTTGCCTTTTCGTTTGTGCAACATCTTTTTCTTGAGATAAAAAAGCATCAAAAGTGTTCTCTCGTTACACTACCTACTCTTTTGGATTTGTTGATATCGCTATGCTCCCTTCCCTTCTTTAGTTGTGCGAGAGTCCCCTAGCTCTGGATATAATTAACTTGTGATATTTTTGGTGTCTTTTACTCTGTGAATCTCTTATTTAAAGGCTTTTCATATATACACGAGTAGAATCAGCCGACACAAATGAGAGCTTGATCATATGAAAGAATGATGAAGAAGACCGAGCTTTAGACAAGTGCCCTCTTCAGTGGTTCAAGGCCCGCATGTCCTGGAACATGAAGGGAAGACTACTCGGAGAAGTAAACAGTCTAGACTTGCAACGTCAAAGGCCAAGTCACACCAAATCACTTCCCATAATGATCTCAGATGTTTGTTAAGAAGCTCCAACCCTCTGCCAATGGATAGTTTTCTTCTTCAAACCCTTTCACCAAATATAAGATTAGGTCTTACACATTTGTTGGCTAAGAGCCTAGACCTATCACCCTAATTGTCCTTCCATAAATGATGCAGTGAGTATTGCCTAACAAATTTCACCTTAAAATAGAGCTGTAAGTTCACAGAAAACACAGAAATATTTAGGAATCGAATCCACATGAGCGCTTATGATTTCTAATGGTTTCTAATTTGATTATAAACCTATCAGATTTAAGTGGGGGATTGCTGTCGCGATTTAATAGCTACGAAATGAAAATAAACTAAGTAAGAAACCAAGTAAACTAATAAGCAGATTGGTGTAAACAATAGATTAAAAACGATGGGCATTTGGAAACTCTCTAGGCATCATGGTCGATAACATCAAGCAATTAATTAGGATTTTATTATGGTTCAAGAACACAAATATACGGACATATAACTAGTCTATTATCATAATCCTAACCAACTATTATTATCTATCTATTCCATCAGTATCTTTCGTCTCTGGATGTGCATGAGACAATGCTTACGATGCTCTATAGATGTGCTCTTGCACCTTACAGTGATTTCGCTTGTTCGACTCTAGATCCGGTAATTAACCAAGACTTTTGTGGGTTTAATTCAATCTAAGGACGGCATATGCAAGATGATAAATCAAGCACACATGCATTAATAATAAGAATAAACGAAGAAGCTTTTAAAAAGATATCCTAATCTAAAAACCTAAATGTTAATCGATCGATGAGAGTTTCTTTTGAGAATCCTGAACTCAACAAGGAAATTACTTAAACATAGCTGAACTTAACATCATCAATTTGAAAGAAAAAAAAAAGAAAGAAAAAAAGTAAAGAAAATAGATGAAGAAAAGCTTTTCTATCAATGAAATTGGTTTGAGAAATCTTCTCGACAACTAGAAAAAAAAAAGTCATTGTAACTCTCGAGATTGCAATGGGTGGATATGGGCCGAGTTGTACTGGCTGCGGGTGCTCTTCTCCCAGCCGTGGCCAAGTCTGCTTCTTCTTGGCTTGAATCTACTTTAAGGCAGCATCATCTACCATTGCTGCATCATGAATATCTAGAGATCTAACTGTTGAAATGTCTCCAATTCAATTTCATTTGAAAGCTACTTGTCTTTTTTTTATTGTGTCTAAATTTGGAGATAATTAGACGATAAGAAAGTCTTCTTTAACTGAAAAACTTTCTAACAGTCCAAGTTTATCCAAAAACATAATTTTTCTTCAAAATGCATTTCTTGATCCAAATTATCTGAAATGTTTCCTACAACTCTAAAACATAAAAAAAATTAGTTGAAAAATATTGAAATTGCGTTAAACACCTACATAAAATATTAAAATGATCCATAACATACTATAAGTCAGGTGTTATTAAAAAACCAAACTTTTTGTTCAATCACGTTGTCTTCAAAAACGGATACACATTTTTCTTTCTCCCCAGAGTTTATTTTAACCATGTTTTTGTTGTAGACTAGCCCAATAACTCACAGCCCACCGAAGTGGGTATTGAAAGAGCACTTATTCGGATCATACCCAAATATTTGCGTCCAATACTTCAATTTGACAATTGCTTACCCTTACGGCCTTACCCCCACGTGTTCTAGCAATCTGTGGCATCTTTACCAACTTAGATATAAACTGTATATATGCTATCCTAAACATACTACCAAGTCAATTCTAAGCCGGTTCAAAAAAAAAAAAAAAAAAAAAAAAAAAATTCTAAGCCGGTTCTGGACATAGCCAAATAAAACATTGGTCTTGCCCCAAATTTTAGTAGATCCACACAAAAGATAGAAACCCATATATAAAACAAACAAGTTTTTGTTTAGTGACTAAAGAGAAGACAAAAGCTACCCAGCTAGTTTTGTCTTAAGTTTATGGTTCTACTTTAGCACTTTTTTTTTGAAACTTTTTTATAAGAATTTTTATTTTATTAAATTTTATGTTATGAACACTGGATTTAGTCCTTATTTTAAAATTTATGGTTCTAATTTAGTCATTTTAAAAAAAAAACTCTCATTATTTCAGGCAGGACTAGTCTGTGAGATTTTGCTGCTTAAAGCCCAACAATATTTTTTAGTCCATAATAAAAAAAATCACAACCTAAAACCTCAAGAATCAAATCCGCGCCTCGGAGAATTATAATTATTTACACAAACTACTGCACTACACTACAAATTCTGAAATTTGCTGTCTTTAACTTGTATATATTTTCTGGCACCCTAAAGCAAAGGCTTTACCAGCTTTAGCCCAGAGCTGGCTATGAAATCAGGGCCAGTCCTGAGTCAATTCATACTGGATTGGTCACTCAGGTTTGTAAGAAGCGTGTATTTTCCAGATATCTGTTAGCATTTTTCTGTTTGTTTTTATACTGCCTGTTGAAATTTTCTGATTCTGCAGCTGGCGAAGAAGCTGAATGAGGTGACTGAAAAGAAGGAGAAAGAGAAAAAAAGAAGATATTTGAAGGCCAAAGTGTTGGCAGCCATAATGATGTTTTCCAGGTATAAAATTTGGTGATCACTCTTTCAAATGTCAGAATATATATGTATGGCAGCGGTGATTCATTTGGATAAACCTGTTGGACTCCTATTTTATTAATTACATATCAGTAGACTTACGACCATGATCGTCAATGGGATCCCACTCAATTACAAAACAAAAGTATGAAGGAAACTTTTAGCTATATATATAAAGTAGGACCTACATGGCTAATATTTGATATGAATAGATGTCGAATAAATCATTGGAACAAGATCTAGCGATACTTTGAGACGGTCTTGGTTTTCATCATACGATGATATATATATACAAAGAATCATTTACAATGGTTACAAAGTCTATCTTATAATTATAATGCTGGTTACTATTTGCTTACAAACAATGTCATGTTTTATGTTACAAGTCTTGCATGGTATGGACACAACAAATATAGTGGATCAAAGACATCCATTGGGTAAAACCAAACCAAGTTGCTTACCAGAAACATTGGTGCAAGAAGTCTTTGCTTCTTTACCGTAATAACTTAGATTAATGGCTTGCATTCGAATCCCGGTGCATGGGAATCGCTCACTGCAATCCATCTTTATAGCAACCGTTGTGGCCGATGTTCCTGTAATTCCGCTGTATATTACGTCGTTTATTTTGATTCCTGATTCCTGTAAAATTTTATATTTTAGATTCAGTCAAATTGTTCTATAATACTTGAGAATATAAACCTGAATCTAATTTCATATTACAAATTAACTAATTAAGTTAAAATAAGTTTCATGATATGTAAATGATAATGAAGACAATAATGTCTGAAACCGATTACGCTCAATTCGCAGCACGAAATTATAAGATGAGGGGCTCACTTTGTGGTTCACCACAAGACCCTCGACTCTCTAGGAAATCAAGTTTGTAAAGGTTTAATTTTGACGAAAACGCCATACATTTTGTAAAACCTTTTTTTAATAAATTTTACATTCAAATAAACAGCTATATTTTCGGATTTATATTTGGAATATGCGTATGAGTAATATCACTAAATAGTAAATAACCATACTTTGGTTTTATATTTGCATAATCGACGAATGACATATTGAGAAATATATCATAGTGCATTTATTTTCTGTTTTTTTTTTAATAGCATCAATTTTAGATTTTTAAACAATGTATGTTATATGATGACATAATATTTTACGTAATATCATTTTTTTTAGCAGTCGCTAAAACACACCACTTTTATTTGCCCTAATCTTACATTTCTATTTGGTTATGTACCAAAGAAACCGTAACTTATATTATTCATAGTTTACGTGATTTTGTTTTAAAAAGAATCATACACGATTGAGTCAATTATCTAGTTAGTTAGATTCTAAACTAATATAAAAAATGTATAAAGAAGAATTGAAGAAATGACCTGAGAAGGGCAGTAAGAATCGCCAGGGCAATAGTTCTGGTCGATGAGGATAGGATACGAGACGTTGACCATACGAGCCCCTAAGAACCGAACTCTTTCCACAAACCCATTGCTATGACGTGGCCACGACTTTATCCGTAGCCCATTGTCCGTCCGTACGAACACTGCCTTCTTCACGGTCACGTTCTTCACTCCTTGCTCCTCTAGGTTCTTCGCTAAGCTACCAATGCTGGAATAAATATAGGGTCAATTAACTTTTGGAAAAAACAAAAATAAGTGGATGTTGTTTTCACACGTTTTAATCGAATAACGAAAACTACCATATAAATAAGTATATCTATTCTATTAAAACAAAAGCACTTTTAGTGCCTATTTCCAAACACATTTAAACTTTTTTATAACATTTTATTTTATATTATAATTAATTTCGAAAATTAGTTACTAATTTAGATATTGTTAGATTTCTTTCAATATAGGTTATATTTAATTTAGTTTTTTTAAATTATTCGAAATTTTTATTAATTAAATTTAATTACAAAAATTTAGATTCAAATTAATATAAAATTCAAAAAAAAATTATAAATAAATTTTATTACAAATATTAGATAATAATTTTAATTACTTTAGAATTCTTTAAATACAAATTAGCTTTAATTTAAAATTTTGAATTTAAATAATATTTTTATAATAGCACAAATGGTAAACAAATATTTCATTGTATTTTATTATAATCAATCCATCTAAAGCATCAAATATTTAATATTGGTAAATATTTATATTTTACAATAATATGATAAAGCAAGTTAAAGTTATACATTTATAATAACAATCTTATACGGGTTAGTTTGTCAAAACGTGTAAAATATTAAAAAATAATTTGAGATAACTAAACGGACGTGTTAGCTAATTCATAGATGTATAGATTGTTTATGTGTAAATCTAAATTTACATAATAACAAAGTTCATAATTAACATTATAGATCAATATATACTTAATTAACTTATATTCTTATTCTACTAATATATAAATCTCTACTATTAAAGTTTAAACATGATAACAAAAATTTTGAATTAAAAATAAATTAAATAACACAAAAAAATTCTATTAAAAAAATTATATTAGAAATAAAAAATGAAAAATTCTTGTGCGGACGCACGGAGTTAGAATCTAGTTATTTAGTTAAAACACATGCGAAAAATAATCTATGAGATTTCTTCCTGAGAGAAGGATCTATAATCTTTTAGTTAACCAAAACAGAATAGTGTACTCTATTACAAAGAATTGTAAGGTTTGTGGCAATGAAGTTGTTGTTTTCAGGACTACGGTCCTTGGCAGACCGAGCCACCAAAATTCACAAAGATTAAACCGTATAACAAAATTATGTTGTAAAAAAATAAACATTCTAAAATTATGCTATTTATGTCATTTGTGTGAAATCTTCTTTTCACAAATCTTTATGTTTACTGTTTACGTCATTTGTATTATTTTATTATGCTAAGAAAAATAAATTTATAGCAAACTTGATCCTTGTATAAGCCAATCATTTGAAGATATATATACCTGATTCCATGTCCAGGACCACAAGTGATTCCATCTACCATCAAATTCTTTGTACCGGGTCCGATTGAGATACAATCGTCTCCGGTTTTGATGGAAGCATTTCGGACCTCGATGTCAGTCGATAACTGAATGTGAACGCCGTCGGTGTTGGGACTATCATCTGGTGCTATGATTCGGATATCTTCAATCTTTATGTTTCTGCAACGGTTAATTGCTATATGGAACAGTTGGCTATTCAATGACAATATTCCTTTTATCCTCACGTTGTATGAATCCATGAATCTAAGTGTCTGCAATCATATTAAATTTATATTAGATCTCCATATATCGATTATTTTTTTGTTTGGTTTCTAAGTGTTTGATAGTATATTATAATAGTGTTATTTTTCAAATGAAAACACGGTTTTAATGGAACAATTAAGAGAGAAAAAGGCAAGAATAACTTAATTTAAAAAGAGGTTAATTATTAGTTTTCCAAAAAAAATAAGAGGTTAAAAAGTCAAAATTAAATTAGTACACCATTTTGAATTAGGGTTTTGAATTTGGAGTTTTAAATATAGGATTACGATTTAGTTTAAAACTATTTTGTTAACTTTTAAAAATAGAAACTATATTCTAATTTGGTAGAAATTATATCATATGATAGGAAAAAAAATTATTTTTTATGTGTGAATTTTTTTTTTGGTGGTTTAACTCAAAAAATACATCGAATGTGAACCCATTGCTATGATTTCAAGTTAACACATACCGTTGCGCCTTCAGGGCAGTTTAGACCTTTAGCTTTGCAACTCCACAAGGTAGACCCCTTAGCATCAAAAGAACCTCCAAGTACCGTAATATTGTGAACACCAATAAAACTAAACCAGTTTTCTTCTTTCCCAAGCAACCTATAATTTTGTGGACCAATTAAAGTCCCATCAATCCTTAGGGTTGTCTCACGGCTTCTGCAACTCTCTCCTTCGAACCGAAGCTCCCGACTAACCAAATACCTTCCTTTTGGCACGTAAATTATGACTGAGTCTTCCAAGCCACATGCGTTGTCCCATGCATCCGAAAAGGCTTTCGTGGAGTCTACGAGGCCATTTGGTTTTGCCCCGAAATTCAAAACGTTAAGACTTGTTCTTGCGTCAAGCTGACCAAAGTGTGACATAATGACTGTTATAACGATACGAAAGACGTGAACATAGCTTAGAGATGATGCCATTTGTGTTACCAATGAAGAGAAATGTGTGTGTGTGTGTGTGTGTTTTTTTTATTGGAACGATTTGATAAAAGTTTGATAGTGATGTATTTTCTGATGAACAATATTGATGATTCTATAAGTGTGCACGTGTGTGTATATATATATAAGTATGTTAGGGTTTTGGATAAAGAGAAGAAGGTTTCTTTGTGGTTTAAGAATCAAAGTATAAAGCAAACGGCGCGCGTCGCCATTGTTTTCTCTAATGTATCTGAAAACGAGTTGATTGGTTTCCAAGTAAATTTCGGAGCCCCCGTACGTAACGTTGAAAATTAGTCTATCTTTTATAATAAGTCGAGTAACTATGAAGTGATCCTCCAACTTTAATCGTTAGTTTGATTTGATTTTAATTATCATTTATGATGACAATTTCGAAAATAAACATCTATAGGCTATAGTATTAATGGGTAGGACTGGCAAAATATCGGTTAGATTTGCTTCGATCCGTTATTAGTCACGATTTAATTCGGAAGATCCGGATATCCGTAATTTTATGGAGTAAAATTAAAATTCATTATCCGTTAAAAACAGAGGAAATCACAAATACTAAAAAAAATTAAACGGATATCTGCTCTGCTCCGGTATAAATATATATATATATATATATATATATAGATAGATAATAATTCATATAAACTGTATAATTATTATATATAGGTGTATTTTTTGTGAATTGTTGTTTATAAATTTGATTATTATAAATATTAAAGCTTCTTAATGTAGGAACGAAGAAGGAGATGGAAAATATTATTTCTGTTCTCACTTAACTTGGTTACATTTCATTACATTTGCTTTTATACTAGAAAGACATAAACTCTAGATGGGATGAGACCTCTACGTGTCACAATCTTGAAGCACATCAAACTTGTTCAAGATCCTAATGGCAGTCTTCATCTTCCCCGTATTCTTGCTGCACAAGGACTCTACTTTTGTTTTGTCTTCTTGCACATCTGATTGTTGTGACCGTTGTATTTGAATTTGATTTGGACTGGGCCTCGTAGTGTCTCGGCCCAATGTCGATGATTGCTGAGTGTTGGGCTTCAACTCTTTACCTGCATTTGCTGATTTGGCTTAGTATGAAGCATCAGCTTCAATAGCCCCCTCCCCCCCCCCTCCCCTCTTCAAAACTTTGTGTAGGTGGGAAGGCCACCAAGTTTGAATCTGAGATCACTGAATGCTGCAAACGGAAGTGATTTGGTGAGCAGGAATGTGGTGAACCACAAGGGATTTGAGAGCTACTCTTTCTTGAACATAGTGATGATCAAGCTCAAAATGCTTAGTCCTTGAGTGAAATGTTGGGTTTGCTGAAAGCCTCACTGCTGAAAGATTGTCACAAAGGAGCTCAGGAGTGTTGGTAATTGGTATTCCCAAGTTCCGCAGGAGAGAGCTGATCCACTTTAGCTCAAAGGCAGTATCAGAAAGTGTTCGATACTCTGTCTCTGTTGAACTTTTGGAGACTGTAGTGATCTTTTTGGAGGACCAAGATATGATGTTTGTTCCCAAAAAGGTGCAGAAGCCGCCAGTAGAGCGACAAGTGTCCTTGCACCCAGTTCAATCGCTATAACTGTACCTTTTTAGAGTAAAGTCGGTGTAGTTATTGAAGTTTATACCCATCGTAACCGTTCCTTTTACATACCGTAGGATCCTCTTAAGTAAAATGAAGTCAGAAGTTGTTGGAGCATGCATTTTCTGACAAACATAGTTCACTGCAAACTGAATGTCAGGTCTAGTAAGAGTGAGATATTGAAGTTTACCAGCCAAGCTTCTGAAATACTTCGGGTTTGAGAAGGCTTCTTCTTGGTGTGGAACACGATCAAGCTGCAGTGGAAGAGGTGTAAGCATAGGTTAACAGTCGCTCATTCCAGCAATAGCTAATAGATCCTATGCATATTTCTGTTTGGACAGAAGCAGACCCTTTTGATGAAAAGGAGCTTGAATATGTACTGCATCTGACCCATGTCTTTCATACAGAATTGTTTGTTCAGTTCTTAAAGGAGTTTTGTCATTGCTGTGGAGTTGTTACTGGTAATAATCAGGTCATCCACATAGAGAAGTAACATAATGACATATCTAGTTTGCATATAGACAAACAGAGAGGGATCGGAGATACTGCAGACAAAACCAAACTCAAGCAAATATGTACTGAATTTGTCAAACCAAGCTCGTGGTGCTTGATTTAGTCCATAAAGAGGTTTATGAAGATGAGACACATGAGTAAGAGGTTTTAAGGATTATATAGAGTAAAAAAAGAGTCGCCTAACACAAGTAGGAATCTGGAGGTCTGATTGCCATTAGATTAGGTGGGGTGAGAAATTTTAGGGAATTACCTTATCTAATGTGCGATTGTAGGCAATACCGAGCCGACCAGGAAGATACGAGCATGATCCGGAGTGGACACCTGGTTCCGCAAGACGATCCGAAAACTGATTCCCAACCTTTTATGGAACAGGAAATCCGAACTCGGGATGAACTTGACTCGTCAAGTGATGATTCTGATTCAGTGGTTGAAGTGTACATGATCGATTCAGACACATCGTTTGAATCGGATCCATCAGAAGCCGAGGGTTATGCACAACAAATGGAGGGACTTGACCTGGACCCAGACATGAAGACCATACCGCAAGGGCCCGAAGTGGAAATGGAAGTGAAGATGGCACAGCCTTGTGCGGGATTTACGGTCATACCAACCGAATAATCTGATGTGGAAATTATGATGCCAGACCCACCCGATATCGTGGATATACCATCAGACAGCACGGCATCCATGTTGAGCAGTTCTAGCATATGGTCCACAAGCAGCGGCATGTGGACAACAAGTGACTCAGATACCAATGAACCGGAGGAACCGCCCACAGTCTGGACGTCCTATGTCTTTACGGTGAGCTGCAGGTATATGTATCCCCCCCCCCCGGAGATACATATAGTACAAGAGCCAGTGCGGGAAGAGATTGTACACCAAAGGGAGGAAATTTTATCAAGTGATGGGAGGTGTGGAACTATACAGCCAACAATGGCTGAAGAAGGAAGGGATAACTTGGGGCCATCAAGCCAAAGACAAAAAAAAAAAATAGAGGAGACAATGAGGAGACAGCTCCTATCGTAGCATAGTCCGCGGATGCAACAAGTTATGACGGGACTTGGGACCGAAGGATGGGAAGATCAATTTACTTGGGCAGAACGAAATGAAGTCCGGAGACTGGTACAACTATGCTGACCCTTATGGGACCATATTCGAATTTCAGAGGATCCATACCGCGAAGCCATGTTAGCCAGAGCACGTGAACTCCAAACAAATGAAGAACTTTGGGCAGACAAAGAAACGCACCTGATAGATTGATGGAATCTATCCCGAAGACCCGATCGAAGAGGAAACCAAAGTTTGCAAGAAAACCAAAGACCAAGTGATGAGGGAAGTTCAAGAACAAACCAGCCAGATGAAGGGGATGCGGTAGTCCCGCAAATAAATGAAGGAAATCACGAAGAAGAAGATAAAGTGGTACCGGAGGTATAGACGGAAGTTAGAACTCGAAGATACAGAGATTTGCTAGATCAAGAGAACCGGAAAGAACCAAGAAGAAATGAAACACAACCGAACGAGGGAAGTACTGAAGGAGTTAACACAGGAAAAAATCAAAGGGAAGCAAGTGAAGAAACAGAGCGAACGGAGTCAGGGTGTAGACAATCTTACCCCGAAAGACATGAATCAGGCAGAATGCCAACGCAACCCTTAAGAGTAAGGGTCCAGGCACGAAAAAGAGGGACACATCAGTCACAGATGAGGTCGTGCGAGCATTGCGGGGAGAGTAGCCATCTCTCCTGGGCATGCTGCGACCCTAGAGCCGGACCATCTACAAGGATAGACAGACGACATGCACTACAAGAAAAAGACAATTTTACAACAGCCATAATGGTCGTTATTTCATCTTAAAAGGGCCATTACGACGGCCTACCGACGATTTTAAAATCGTCGTAAACTCATCGTCGTAATAGACAAATCGTCGTAAAATCGTCGTATAATATACGACGGTTTCGTTTCGTCGTAACATCGAGGGAAACAAAACGTCGTAATTGCGTCGTACAGTTTACGACAATTTTACATCTAATTGCGTCGATTTGGTCTTCGCCTGGACCGTCGTTATTTCGTCGTTAAGAATCAACGTCAGATCGTCGTAAAATATACAACGACAAAATTCGTCGTAAATCAATCGTAAATTATTTTATCATTTCGTAGTAAAATCGTCGTAAAAAACGGACGTATAGTCGTCGTATTTGTCGTCGTAAAGTTTGGTCGTAACGTCGTCGTACTATTTACGACGAGTATACGACGATTTTTTAAACCAATAATAATTATATTACGACGATTTTACGACGATTTTACGACGTTTTATTTAATTAAAAATAAAAAAAATTTATTTCGAATTAAAATTTAAATTAAAAAAGAATTAATTTACTATTTAAAATTTAATAAAGTTTCAAATTAAAATTAAATTTAGTATTTACAAAAAATCCCTAAAGATCTAAATCTAAATCTAAACCTATATCGTTGATCCCGTCATCGGCCTGTTCTCCATCGTCCTCGACGTGTTCTTTGCCGGGTCTTCGGTTAGAGGCTTCCGGCACCTGATCTCCGGCTCTAGGAGGTTCAACCCCGAGAGATCGGAACATCTCCTCGTCCGTCTGCACCGGTGGTTGCCTCCTAGTAGATAACCTGGCAGACGATCCGACAACCCCATCAGCCTGCAACCTGTCCAACTGCGCCATAAGCACCGGGTTGTCGGCTCCCATGATCTCGAAGAGACCGTACAGCTGGTCGATCCTCGTCTCGTAACGGGTCCGCATCTGATCGATCTCCTGGCGGATAACCGGATCCGGGACCCGAACGTGACCAGTCGCCGTAGCTCTCGGGGTATCACGGATAGATCACATCCCTAATACCCGCTCCTTTTTCTTTGGGGCAACCTAAA